ATCTACCTGTTTAATGAATTTCAGATTTATGACCCACTACTTAGACTCAGGATCTATCTTTGTTTTTGTTTTTGTTTCTTGGTCTTTTTGAGACAGAGTTTTACTATGTAGTTCAAGCTGGCCTTGAATTCACTATGTAGCCCAGGCTGGCCTCAAACTCATGGCAATCCTCCTGTGTCAGCCTCCTGAGTGCTGGGATTACATGTGTGCACCACCTAGCCTGGCCCCATCTTTTTTTTTTTTTTGTACAGTTTTGTACATCTTATTTATAGAGCCTCAGTGTCTTTTCTTTTGTACAGTATACTTATTTACATAGTATTTTTTTGCTGATTGCACTGTACAATACAGTCTAGTTTTATATTGTTATACCTTATAGTACTGCATATAAGAGTTATGCAAAAAGCAAAATCATCAAGTTGGAGTTTCCTTTGGTCATTTCTTTGTTCTGAACATTGTAATGTATGTACTATATATAGTTCCTCATTTAGTGACCAATTCAATTAGTGACCTGGCCGGAACAGGAATTGGTTGTTAAATGAGAAATGTCTGTATTGATTATCTGGACAATGAAAAATAAAAGCAGAAGTACAATTCTTTTTTTTCTTTTATGCACTGTGGATTGAACCCACCACACATGACAGGCAAGTGCTCTACCACTGAATTGTACCCCCAGTCAATTTTTAAATTTTATTGTGAGACATGGTCTCATTGAGTTGCTTAGCCTGGCTTTAAACTTGCAACCCTCTTGGCTCAGCCTGCTGTAGCTGGGATTGTAGGCATGGATCACCACACCTGGCTTAGAATAATTACTCAATGCATATATGCATACTTTAGTCCATTTCTTTTTTCTTTTCCTTTTTTTTTTATTTTGGAAACAGGGTCTCCTTATGTAGTTTAGGCTGGCCTTAAACTTGTATGTAGCCCAAGCTGGCCCTGAACTCATGTGATCCTCCTGCCAACAGCTGGGATTATAGGCATGTACCACCATGCCTAGCTAGTCCATTTCTTAGCTATGTTTTTTCCTAAATTTATGTTATTGGCTTTTTCCTAAAGGTGTGTTTCTAAAAATATGATATTTAAAAATAAAATTGTCAGCAATATCTTTTGGTTCATTTTACAGTTAATTAATTTGAAATTATTGATATCTTCAATTAACTGTTCTTGGAAGGCCATAGTATTTCAAACTAGGAAAATGCTCTTTTATGAGTTCTGAGTTATCTGTTAAACTCAAAGCACATTTGCTCAAAGGAGAACATAATCAATTCTAATTTTTAAAATAATGAACAGTGTAAATATTCCAGCCCAAATATTTTCATAGGCACTATCTTTCCGCCTCTTTTAGAGTTTCTTTGACAAATATTTTCTAAGAGAAACACTGTCAAATAAATCAGTCCTATGATATTTTGGATTGTTCTGCCAAATTTAGGTGCTGCAGAATCCAGGCGTTCTTGATTTAATTTCCTTCCTCTGTGTGTGTGTATGTGAGTGTGCGTGCGTGCGTGTGTAATTTATTAAACATAAGGGCACAACCAAAAAATTCTTCCTTTAAGGATTGACTGATTGATTGATTGATTGAGTGATTCATTTGGGCCAGGGTCTTGCTATATAGTTTACGCGGATCTTGAACTTGCCTATGTAGCCCAGGCTGGCCTCCAACTCACGGTGATCCTTCTGCCTCAGCCTCCCAAGTGCTGAGATTACAGGTGTGTACCAGCAGGCCTGGCCAAGGTGTGATATTTAAAATCATGACTACAGATCTGAAAATTTTAATCTTGTATGTGATTTATTCAGTTACTTCCTTGGTTTGTAGGGAAATTTTCCAATGGAAGACTTTTTTCCCTAAAAGATTCATTTAGTGTTCTCTTTGTTGCACACTTAAGATTTCCAATTGATTTTACAGAAAATGTCATTACTCATTTGATGACTCATTTAGAACAATGCTCAATACCATTGTTGGACACAGACTGATTCATGATTTTCTAAGATCTGATTGATGTCACACAAACAACACACATGTTGCCATGTATTTTTGCACTCCACATTATCTACATCTCCCAAAACTTATGGTCAGGAACTTTGACTATAAAGATATGTGTAAATGTTGAGGCAGTCATAGCTGGTATTTGAGAGGAATGCTGATGCATGTTTGGATGGTATTATAAATTATATGTGTGCCACAAACAATTCTAGCTACTCCACAGATTTCTCAATGTAGTAAGGATATCGTTTTTACCACAATCTTGTGCTTCACCAAAATCTGTACTTGTCTAGTTATTACAAAGTAATAACTTCATCTTCAATACTGCACTTTTAAACAGAATTTCCAATCTCATTTGCAAAGGCTTTATACTTCCAAAAGCTTTACCTTGATCCCATTAATAGATGGAGAGAAAAAATTCAAACCAATTTTAGAATTAACTTAAGTGAGTTGATCATTTGAAGCATCTGATGACACTGAACTAAAACTCTAATTACATAATGGTTGCACAGTTCTGCTCATGGACCCAATAAGCACAAGAAGCACAGTTTCCTTTTTCCTTATGTGCACATAAGAACTTGCAGTTGGAAGTGATTGAAGTTAGCTTAGAAGAGTAGTTATGTATCCTTTTTTTTTTTTTTTTTGTCTTTTCGAGACAGCGTCTTGCTAGGCAGTTCAGGCTGGCCTCAAACTTGCATCAATCCTGCTTCAGCCTCCTGTGACTACAGAGGTGCACCACCACACCAGCTAAGGTAGTTACATATCTAAAGAAAAGCTGTTTCACAGAATGTTGTATATACCATATATACATGCTGCAGCTGCAGATGTTAAGTATTGTCCTCAGAGAATTTTCTTAGTTTAACTACTAAGTTTTGAAGCAGATCCTGATCCTTTTCCAGCAGCTTTAATTCTGTTTTCACGTGTTGGTCAGTCATATGACAATGGTCTCTACAGTGGTTAGCAAATGAAAACAAACATTTTGTGTAAGTTACACATTTCTTCTCAACTCTTTTGAGAAACAAAATGTCAGTAATTTTAAAAAAAATTTGAATTTTTTGGGCTTACTGCTGGCAAAAGCATTAACTGCAAAAACCGAAGTACTGTCAGCAAGAAAACTGTTACAGATTTACACAATACAAGCAAGTGTGCTTAGTCACTATTCGCTCTACAATAGAACTGACCAGTCCTGATTTATACATAGGCAGTATTTTACAGACTTCCAACCTATATTTCCTATTAAGTGTAGTTTTGTGACTCTTGCAGGCCATGCATGGGTAATGGTACAATTGATTTTTACAAGTGGGGCAGCAGTTTCAAATACTGTTTTCCCACCCCGATACAGAGAGGTGTTAGCTGTCTCTAGATGCTTGTGTGTGAGTGCACTCTGCTGTACCAGCATTGCCTGCACTCTGTTCTTGATTAGGTGTTGGTTACATTGTGGCTGAAGGGGCTGGGAAAGAGATGAGTTATTAATGGTTGTCTTTTAGATTTAATAACATCTTAAAATGAGAACTCTCCCTGCATAAGGGCCTCACAGTGCCATTAGAATATACTAGACAAAAACTCAGGCGGAGGCTAGAACAAAGTGGAAATCTGTTAAATCTATCCCCACTTATTCTAATGTAATTATTAGTAATACATCTCCATTAAAAAAATGAAAAATCCAGAACAACAGCCAAGTCACGTGGGACTCAGATCCAGCCAGCCTGTACTGAGCCTGCCCTTCACGAACGATGTGCCCTCAGCTGATTTCAAGGGAAGGAGACCTGCCCTTCTTTGCCTTTCCTCCTCCTTCCCCTTACTGAATGCAGTGAAGACGCGGTGGCCCATCCCAGGCCATGAAGTGAAAAATAAGGATGGCAGAACAGTAAGACCTAAGCGAACGTCACTTTATAATCAAGGTTAATCCTGCTATATAAAGAAGACTCACTCTCTTTTTCAGAAATCAGCTTGGAAAAATACATCAAGAATATTAAAATATTTAAGCTCTGTAAAGTACTTTTAGGTACTTTTTTTTTTTTACCCTTTCCTTTCCTTTATTTGTGGTGCTGGGAATTGTTCCCAGGGCTGCACAAATGCAAGTCAAGTGTTCTGACAGTGTTATATCTCCAGCCTCTAAGTATTTCTCTTAAATACATTAAATAATTTGGAATGGAGAAAACTGATATATAAAGATATTTCTTATGAATCTATTTGTGATAATAAAAAATATGAGGCAGAGTAAATGTTGGACGATGAGGAATTTAGTGTTTTTTTTTTTTTTTACTTTTTGAGACAAGCTCTCACTATGTAGTTCAGGCTGGCCTTGAACTCCCAGTGATCCTCCTGCCTCAGCCTCCTGAGTGCCAGGAACTTGTGAAATGACATAAAAATCTAAATATTATGGAGTCATTAAAAAAGTATATGAAAGCCAGGTACGGTGGTGCACGCCTGCAATCTCAGCACTTGGGAGGCTAAGGCGAAAAGCGCTGCAAGTTCGAGGCCAGCGTTGGCTACATTCTAAGTCCAAGGTCAGCCCAAACTGCGTAACAAGACTTTGTCTCAAAAGTCTCAGAAGAGAAGTGCATGAAAATGCTAATGTAGGGAAAAGCCCACATCACAATATGAAGTTGAAAAATAAGATGGGGTAAAACAAAACATAACAAAACAAAACTTTACGCACAATGAAGTTCTCACCTATGTTACAAAAAAACCCCTATTTATAAAGGTACAAATAAGGAACAACACAAACACTGAAGGAAGTACATCAAAATATTAACGAATGCACTGGCTAGTGAGGTTATAATATTTATTTATATATTTTTAATTCTGAATATTTAACACTATCCTATAATTAATAATTCTATCCACAGTGAGAAAAAAATAGAAATTAAATTCAAGATTCTTTTCTAGCATTTACCAATTTTACCTGCCATCATCATCCTCATCAGGGCTTTACTGAGCGGCTACGAAAGGGAAGTTGGGCAGGAGGTACACAGACCTAAACACTGTCCAGGCGCAAGCAAGCCCTGTCCCTTTTTACCTTGGTGTTCTGTAGCAGAGCTAGTCCATTGCAGGCATTTGCTAGAAGAAAGTCTCCACTCAGGATAGCTATCTTATTTCCAAACTGCATGTCCTTTAGGGGTCCATCGGAAGACTGCAACTCACTTAAATTTACTATCCCGCGATGCACAAGGAGAGCAGTGTGGATAAGTTCTGTGATCTCTGCCAAACTTCTCTGACTAAAATATAAAGAAAGACTTGTTTGAGTACCAAGCATATAATTTTATCACTAATGTCAGCCTTCAGTTTTCAACAATAAAATATTTCATAGATTCTTCCAGGGGAACTTCTCTTTTTAATGAATGAAGCTTTTAACAGATGCCCCTCTATTGAGTAGTTTCAGATTCTAAGCATATCCTGACACCTTTCTCTCTCAGTGTTTTCACTCATGATGCCCCACGTCTCTGGGATGTCCTAGAGAGGGGCTGGCCAGTGGACAGTTCCCCCGACGGCTCCATTTAGATATTTTGCTCTCTTGTATTCAAGATTTTTGAGACTCTTTGCTTGTATCTAATGTAATACCAACTTAAGTGGAAATATAATCTGTTCCAGTTACTAGTCCAAGTACTTTATGTATATTATCTCTTTTAATCCTAAATGTAAAATTATGGGATTCAAGAGATGATAAATAAAGTGAAGTCTCTTCCTTCAAGGACCTACTTTACAGAATAAGAGAAAATTATATTTCTATATATCTAATATAGTTATATATATAAGCTCTCTTTATATATATATATATATAAGCTCTCTATATACCTTTAGTAATATATATGCTACTATCTCTATACTATAATAAAAAATAAATAGGAAAGACCCTGAGGAACTTACAGCACAGTGTTGTGTCAGATGGGATTTCAGATGCTTGTTCCCTTTTTGTATTTTTTCTACAGTTCGTACATTTGTACAATGACAAAAGTATTAGTTTTAAAAGCATAAGAAATCCAATGACTAAAAATTTAAAGCCTTATAACAACCCTATAATGGGTATTAACCCCTTTTATAGGTGAGAAAATGGGCGTGCACAAGTAGAACGACTTTTCACAGACACACAGTCATGCAGAGTTGGAAAGCCACTGGCATTTAACATTATGAATGGCTGAACATAAGTCACGTCTCTTGATTTCCATGCTCCTGTGTAACCCTCTCCACATTAATGCTAGGCTTGGCCATGTGACTTGTGTCATCATATGACATAAGCAAAGCCTAGGCTTCTCTAAGGTGGCCACGGACAGAAGAACCATCCAGTCAGTTCACAGGATGCTAAGAAGTAAAGTGGTTGTTTCAGTCATTAAAATATAGAGTGGTCTGCCATGCTGCCAATCGATATGTGATGCAACAACTGGCATGTCTGGGGTGAGGCGCTACTGCAATGAAAGCCTCACTGTGTGCCAATGGCTTTGAGTCTGAATGGTGGGGGCTAGCGACAAAGGCAGAAGGATTGTTATTAGAGGACTGAAAAAGAGCACACTGTGTCATAAGATATATAACAACTGCAAAATCTGTTTCCTGTAGTAACTTGAAAGATATATTTCAATATTTGCAATCTATGACATCTAATAAATTTAGGCACATAGATTAGATTTCCAGGCAGAATGCCAACAATATCATTTGGCATTAGTTGCTGTTATGGCTTCATGCAGTCATAGGAGGGGCTTTTTGGGGGTGGCTGGATCTAGGGTGTGTGCTGCTGGGATCAAGGATGTGTGATTACTAAATTAGTCCACCAAGTGGTTAAGCATAGTGTTGGGTAGGATTAAGGGCACCCCACCCTGGGTATGGGTGCTACCAAGCCTAAGGGCTGGTAACCTGGATAAACTATAAGACACAGAAAGAGGGCTAGTATTCTTTGCTCGCTGCCTTCTTCCTACCCTGCTCTCCCACAGGGTGCTTCCCTGCTGTGATGCTCCTCTGCTGTAACACTTGCCTTGGAGGGTGCTATAGCAAAGGTGTCAACTATGGAGCGACACGTCTATGAACTGTAAGTCAAATAAACCCATCCTCCTTCAACTTTGTTTAGGTGTTGGGTATTTTGTCTCAGCAATGAGAAAAGTAACCAAGATATTATAAAGTAAAATTGAGAGATGAGTTTAAGAGAATTAGTTAGTTCACAAGCATAATGGGAGAAAAGAAGCAAAGATTTGTGTTATGGTTTGTATCTAGATGTCCCCCCAAAGCCTCATGCATCCATGGGGCAGGCTTCCAGAGTTTGTGATTGATTCATAGTCCAATGCTGGGATTATGGCTGTGGGTGCTACACCCACCCTGGGGTGGGTAGCCTGCACACAATATAAGGGAGGGAAAGAGGTTTGCTCTCGTGCTCCTCCCTTTTTGCTCTTATTGCTTTTGTTGTCTTCCACCACCATGAACTGTTGCCCCCTGCTATGCCACCCTGCCTTGGAGTCAGCTGATTATGGACTAAAACCTGCACAAGCTGTGAATTAAATAAACCTTTCCATCTTTAATTTGGGCATCAGGTATTTTGTGTCAGCCGCGAGAGAAAAGTAATTAAGAACTTAGTACCAGAGAAGTGGGGTCATTGCTGTGACTGTACCTGACTATACGATATGCCTCAAGAGCCTTTGGGAATGGCTTGTGGGAAGTTTGGACTTAATATTTGCCCTGCTGGATTTTGGACTTGCTTTGGCCCCTATCCTTTGTATCCCTGTTTGTACCTTTTGGAATGGTAATGCCTATCTTGTGGTGTTGAATGTTGGAAGTATTTAATTTTCTTTTCATTTGCACAGAGGCTCACAGCTAAGAGTTTGCCTTAGATCTAAGTGCAGACTTTTCAGCAATGCTGAAACTGTAAGGACTTTGGCAACTCTTACAGATGGACTAAAATGCATAAAGGGATGTGCATGAGTCTTTGTGGGGGACAGGGGCAGAATGTTATGGTTTGTGCTTGGATGTCCCACCAAAACCTCATGCAGTCATGGGGGTGGTACTTTACAGAGGTGGCTGAATCTAGAGTTTGTCATTAATTTTGTCTAGTTCTGTCTAATTCTGTCTAGCTGGGAATATGGATGTGAGTGCTACATCCATCCTAGGGCGGGTAGCCTACACATGATATAAGGGACAGAAAGAATCTTCTCTTTCACTCCTCCTTTTTGCTTTTGCTGTCTTCCACCACCATGAACTGTTGCCCTCTGCCATGCCAACCTGCCTTGGAGACAGCTGATTATGGACTGAAACCTCCACAAACTGTGAGCTAAACAAACCTTTCCTCCTTTAACTTCAGGTATCAGGTATTTTGGCTCAGCAATGAGAGAAAAGGAACGAAGACAATTTGCTGGGCTAAAAGTAAAGCTGTTTCACATTTCCAGTAACTCTAGAAAAAGATTTCCAAAGTAAAAAATGGTATTGGGAGAGAGATAAAAATCAAAGGGCCATAAGACCCTAAAGATCTAAAAATGAACATAGTGCCCAGTAGATCCCTCAGTTGGTCAAAAAAGCTCCTATGAATTTTAAGGGTATTGTCCCTCAGCAGCCTCATTCTCAGTAGAGAATTCAAGTAGAGACGTCTGTCTCAAAAAGAATCTGGGACATGGTTCATAGGGCATGGAGTGAATTTCAGTCAGACTCCTAGAAATCCTAAAAAGTTTTTAAGGAAGTTATATGAATTTGGGCTAAACATAACGGAGACAGCTTAAAATGAGGGGGAAATGCTTCTGGACTCCTGTCCCTGCTTACTATCCACAGAAGCAGGCTGAGACTGCCACAAAGCTGCACGCTTGAACCATTTTCCCCTGACAAGGAAGATAGCTCAGCAGAGACAGCAGCCACAGAATTGGGAAACCACTTCCAGCGAGAACTGGGCCATAATAAAAAAAAACTTTCTGTGAAAGCCAGGCATGGTGGCATACGTCTGTCATCCCAGTAGTTGGCAGGATGCGGCAGGAGGACTGCTGCGATTTCCAGGCCAGCCTGGGCTACAAAGTGAGTTCAAAGCCAGCCTATCCTGCATAGTGAAACTCTGTCTCAAAACGATCAAATCAAACCAAACCGAACCACTTTGTGCTCAGGGAATAGGTGGCTTTGGCAACATGTGCTCAGCTACATGACAAAATTGCTACGGACCTCTCATTTTTCTCTTTTGTAATGGAAGTGACAATTATGATTATCTGGTTCCAGAGTCACTGTTGTTTACTGGATATATGCTTGTAGTTTCCAGGTTTCTCAATCAAGAGGAGCTGTATCCATGGAGCCATGTCTACATGTGGACCTTGCACAGATCATGAGCTCATGGAAGTCATGAAATGAATGAGAAGGTGGAGTTGTGGGAGGCAGCATATTTTGCCTGTGCATAGAATGTACGGGGGTCAGACAGCAGACCATGGCAGACTGCTTAACCAGTGAGTTGCTTTGCCTGATATTCATGCTGTGTGTGATCTCCTCCTCCACCGACTCTGAGTGTGACTACGTGACCAGTTTTGTCAATGAGACACTGGCAAATGTGGGTCAAAAAGGCAAGTGCTTTTGCATTACTCTTAGAAGGCTGCCCTGAGACTGCATGTTAAGAAAACTGGCCTAGGTTTTCGGACCGGCAACTCACTCCCGGCCTCGTGGTTCCCCGGAAGGGGGGCTTCCGGCGCACAGGGAGCTGCGGGTGGGGAGCGCCAGCCTTCTGGCTGGCTAGCTTCCTGCCTGCTGGCTCCC